TCTACAAATACAAAATGAAAAATAAAAACTAGAGGTGCCAAAATGTATACCAAGCTGAAAAATCCCATGAAAATGGTATTCGCTACCCCGTTAGAGTTGATGTTGTAACCAGAAAGACTTATGGTGAACATGCTGAGGATTTTACGGGTTATGTTGTGTTACAAGGTTGAAGTAAAGTGAATATTTTGTTGGATAGTTGGCACGACGTTGATGATGATTTGAGAAACAACTTATGGACCGATATTATGGTATTTACATTAAATTTTATGATTTGTTTTACAAGTATGTATGATCATTTAATTTTTTGTTTAATACTGATAACAACTCTATTGTATAAACATAGGAAGTGTTTAATGTTAGTCAGAGTGATAGTAAAGTGAAAAAGAAGGTGCTTGCATATGCTGGTGACCGTTGGAGAGGCTTTAAGACACAACTCACACATTATTATATCACTCAACCAACAACTAAAAGTATATAAAAGCCCCCATACTTGATGTATTCATAAATTGATCAGGGTTGTTGGGAGGAATTTGTAAAGTTTCACACCACTCCCGAATTCTTGGCTAATAGCAAAAGAGGAAAGCTTAATAGATCTATAAATCTCTATCCACATAGCTTGTCTCGTGGAGGATATGAAAAACTTGAAAAGAAGATGATTGAAGAAAAAAGAAAACAAAGGAAACAAAATAAGATGTTGCTGTTATTATTGTTTGCATTTTAATTTTTGTATTTTATTTCTGTTGTTTTTATGATACAGATATTTAGTTCATTGGGTTTAATTAACCAAATAAATTCAAATCAGTTGGACATTCAAGAGAAAGTAATGGGTGGTATAAGCATAAAAGAAAGTTGTTATGCCTACCAAGATAATATAGAAACCATACCACAACAAATAGATAACATTCAGAGACTAAAACCGATTGTAGAGAGTATTCCAGATATCTGCCAGAATATTCAATTAAGTCATGTTCCATATCAGTTTTACGTACTTCCTAAGTTTACTATTAAGGATTTCTTGAAGGGGATGAATGGCTAGACGTTATCATATTACAATTGTTGTGCTCGTAAGTATAATTTTTACGTTCATCATTTATATTTATAATCATACGTTATGGTAATTTAACAATAAACATTTGATTCTTGAAGATATTTGCATGACATGTGTGTTGAAAGGCGTTTAAGAAAGTATTTTATCATAGATCCAAATACCAATAACATTCACCGTGGTAAGGTAGCAAACATTATCAAGGTTTACTTACAAGACAAGTTTATAGAAGAGAAGAAAGAGTGTTAATTGCCCCATTTTCCACGTGTAAGTATATATTAATTTGTGTTTTCATTTATAAATCAGTTTTATACATATTATTAATTATTCTAAACATTTACGCAGTAATCATTGACAACTAATTATTATATGCCCAAGACAAAATATTGTAGTTATGCTTTGCTCTATGAGCAATCCCCTTAATGAAGTTATATTAAGCGTTTTATGTGGGTAAGTGTTGTTAGTTTTTGTTCAAATTTGACCTTTAGTTTTGAATAGTTTTTATGCGTGTTTAATTTTTAATGACATATGTAGAGCGATGGAGGTATACATTGGAATTAAACGTAATTTAATTTGTAAAAGGCTAAGGATCTTTATCCCAAAAGTAAGTATTTCTTGTGCTTTTTGATAGTCTTTTTATTTGTGTGTACTAATTAGTAACTAGGTTATACTAATTAGTAACATTATTTGTAGTCAAGAAAACAACCCGACAACTGTTCTTGTGGATACTCTGTTATGAAACATATTAATGATATTGTCACTGAAGATATTACAAATGGATGTACCAAGCGTAAGGTATTAGCTTAATCCATATACATGTAATTTATGTATATTTCTTAAGTTAATGTTGTTGTTGTTAGAGGTTTTTACATTTTCATGTAATGATGACAACAATGTAAAATTGAATATTTAGTTTAGCTACAATGTAAATTTGTAATTTGGTATAAAAAAGGAATACCAATTTTGTCATCTGTTTCTGATTTGGTATGTTGCGTTAATTTAGAATTCTATAACAATTTATAGTTTCTGCATGTGTACAAAATGATACAGGTCTTCTAGTAAAATGAGAATCAAAGCAAATTTATGTAGCATTAAAATTTGTTAAACCCCTCGGTTACAGACAAAAATCGATGTACAAACATATCTTATTATCTCGGCTTTTTAATAAAACCGAGAGTTATGTTACGCACGCTAGTTAGTTTTAAAAAAATATACGTCGTTGCTTCGGATCGAACCATTGACCTTTCGAATATTAACCTCAGCTTTATAAACACTGAGGGATAAAGTTTCCACTTTTCATGCAACCATTCATTATCTTGGCATTGTAATCGAGGTGAAGTCCATTTTGCGTCTGTCATGACATATGTTATTTGTAGCAGTGTAATCTAAACTCCACGCCTTAGAGACTCAGAGTTTCCTCGGAGAGGATCCTACGCAAAGTCTTGCTCAATGGACGCGGCCGATGTATATCCTAAGAGACTTAACGTAAAGTTTTGTATGAGGATTTGATAGAAATTCTGCCCAAGAGGTCTAATTCCTCGCTTGAAGGATTTAAAGTCTCATATGTGGGGCTTAATACACGAATTTCCCTGAAGGACTGGAAGTCCCATTCGAACATAATTATCTGAAAACTTAGTCTAAGGCACTTTGATTTCCCTGGGCGGGATCCAACATAAATTTTCAGCCAAGGGACACGCCTGAAGTCTAACCCAAGAAACTTAACTTAAAGTCTTGTCTAAGGGCTTGATAGAAGCCCTATCCGAGAGGTTCAATGGCTTACCTAAGGAACTTAAAGTCTCATCAATCGAGCTTAGTACATAATCTAACTTAAAGGACAAGAATTCCCATTGAACAGGCTTATCCAAGCACCTCTCTTGAGGGATGTGGGGTCACGTCAATCAGGTTCACCATATAATCTCGTCAGAGAGACTTAGGGCCTCAAGATTCCTTACTAGTCTGTGGTTTAAAAGCAATCCACTCTTTATCAAAACCCTTGTGCATCAGGGACTATGTAATGATATATTTGTAAAAGGTTAGTAAAGGTGGGGGAGTTGTAGCCCTCAGGTGGGGCGACACCCATACATTACCCTAAGTGTCCCATACTCCTCTAATCATGGGAAACGTGATCAAGGACGATCCTCAGTTAGATGGAAGTCATGGTCAACAGAATGAACCACATCTCCCTAGGAAATAGGGATTCAGGGGTTCACCATTGACTGAGTGAGCGATCATCATTTCCAAGAGAATCCTAGGCCAAAGAGCCTCTATAAATTCTTTACCCCTCAAAGGTAAAGACAGATCATTACACCCTCAATATATGCGCATAATACAAAGCTTCTCACCTCCTATGAGCTTGATTTCTCCATTTCCATAAAATTACAAAACAGGGGAACTCACCCTAGTGAGCAAACCATAACCACAAAAAATTAAAAAGCTCTCTGGTTATTCCCTACATGCGAAGAGATACCATGCAATCCTATACTTTTTGACAAATACAATATTGAAGATCGAAGGTGGGAGCTTAATCCGGCTAGAGAAGTCACCGATGATGTTTTTCCATCTCTTTCTTAATAATCATTATAAAGCTACTATGAGTAAGAGTGGTTAAATTCGGATTTAAATATAATTTTTCTTATACTCGTGTATATTTTTTTATCATGTTAGTATATATGTTATAGTTATTCATTAATATTGTTGATTATCCTCGTTCTTAATGTTTATTATAACCCTGCTAATTATAACTTGTTATATGATTTTCAATTAATATTGAGAAATAATTTTCATAACTAGATCAAAGATTTTTATCTATCAAATACTAAACTATAAAGATCAATTTATGTTTAACATTCATATACACTGTTGAAATTTAATGATATCATATTGTTTAAGGGTTGACAGATTGTTATGTTAAGTAATATGATTGATTTCACGTCGTTATTTAGAAATATATAACATGTACTTAATAATAGGTGAAAATATTAACTTTTGATAACAATATATATAATTGATCACGAAAATATATGGGTATAGGATAATGAACTCTGATCCCGACAATCTCATCTCATCTATTAACCTCATTTTTCATTTCCAGGCATTTTCACTTAGTTCTAAAAATAAACATCTTTTTCAACTCATTCCTTAAAATCATAAAGATTTTTGAAAGACAAAATGGCAAGATGAAGGTGTTGTCTAAGCATCTACCTATTAACCATTTGAATGATATCTTATGATTGAATTTGATCTCTAGATGAAACAGGTCTAATTGGTCCTTTGGAAACCCATATAAAATAACAAATCAAGTATGCAAATAGTGGTTATAAAAGGTATTCAACCATTACAAAAATAAAGAATAAAACCTCCCTTATCTTGATACACAAGGAGATAGAAAAAGGAGCAATATTAAGTGAGAGATATTAAACAAGCGATTTCTAATTTCTTAACTAGTACAAAATAAACTTAAAGGGGTCTATATAATTATATAGCAAGTAAACATAATCACGCATCCTCTTTTACGTTTGAATTTTTATCATAAATAAATTACGTAGATAAGTAGTGTGTATATTCATGTCTATTTGTCTTACTCTATCATTTGGTATGACCCTTATTTACAAGGTTTTTCTAAGTGCCTTATATGCATGCCATTTTGTTTTGATGTTAAACAATATCATCTATTTTACCACACTATCTTTCTCACAAAAGCGGAAATTTCACTTTTCAATTAAAAATGGCAAAGGTTCATCTCTACACGTCTTAAAATTTTGATATTAAATTTGAAAGGTTCATCTAAAAGATGTCCTTTAAAAGATTCATATTAAAAATGGTAAAAGGGTAATTCATCTTTACTCCTACACATGCTTCTATGTATACATATATATGTACCTCTTTCTCATTCATTCAAGCCTCACAATCCTCTAATAACTCTTAAACTCTTGAGTTATTTTTCTCTTTATTAATTATGTCAACTTCTCTTGAATATGATGTTCTCTCAGAAAAAAACAAAAAAGTTCTTGATTTCATAGAGAATGTTACTACACACGCAGATGAAATCCAAAAGAAAGTGTTAGCTGAAATTCTGTCTCACAATGCAAATGTTGAGTATTTACAAAGACATTGTCTCAATGGCCAAACAGATAGTGAAACCTTCAAGAAACTTATCCCTATCATAACCTATGATGATATCAAAAATGATATTAACCGTATCGCCAATGGTGATACTTCTCCAATCCTAACATCAAACCCCATTTCACACTTTCTCACTAGGTGAAATTTGGTTTTGGTTTACAAAATGATATTATATGCTAAATACATATTAATTGGCTTGTTATGGTTATTTTTGGTATTGCAGCTCAGGAACATCTGGTGGTGAGAGAAAGTTGATGCCAGCAACAGAAGAAGAATCTGGAAGAAGATATTTTCTATATAGTCTATTGATGCCAATAATCAGTCAATTTGTTCCTGACCTAGAAAAAGGCAAAGGAATGTACCTAATGTTCATAAAAAGTGAATCTAAAACACCAGGAGGCATTAAAGCTAGTCCTGTTCTCACAAACTATTACAAAAGTTCTCATTTTCTAAACAGGTCTTATGATCCATACACAAATTTCACAAGTCCAAATGAAACTGTTCTTTGCCTTGACTCATACCAAAGTATGTATTCACAACTTCTATGTGGTCTTTGTCAAAACAATGAGGTCCTTCGCGTCGGTGCTGTTTTTGCTTCTGGTCTCATTCGCGCCATTCGGTTCCTCGAGAAAAATTGGTCACTTTTTTGCAATGATATTAGAACAGGAACAATTAATCCTCTCATCACTGACAGTTCAGTGAGAGAGGCTGTGATGAAGATTCTCAAACCTGATAAAAATCTTGCTGATTTTGTTGAATTTGAGTGTAGCAAAGGTTGTTGGCAAGGTATTATAACTAGGTTGTGGCCTAATACTAAGTATGTTGATGTTATTGTGACAGGAACAATGTCACAGTATATTCCTACCTTGGATTATTATAGTAATGGTCTTCCACTTGTTTGTACTATGTATGCTTCCAGTGAATGCTTTTTTGGTGTTAACCTTAATCCTCTTTGTAAACCTTGTGATGTGTCTTATACCCTTATCCCTACCATGTGCTACTACGAATTCTTACCGGTTAATAGAAGCAATGATCCTGTACATGAGAAAGAAAAGCAAGAATTGGTGGATCTTGTTGATGTCAAGCTTGATCAAGAATATGAGCTTGTTGTTACCACTTATGCTGGTGAGTTATTTATTTACTATTAAAAGTTTTTGTGGAAACTAAAAATATGTATTAATTTCTATAAATATGTGTGACAATTACAGGACTTTATAGGTACAAAGTGGGGGATGTATTAAAAGTAACTGGATTCAAGAACAACGCACCACAATTTAAATTTGTCTGCAGAAAAAACGTTGTTCTAAGCATCGAATCAGATAAAACAGACGAAGTTGAGCTACAAAATGCAATAAAAAATGCGGCCACACATTTAGCACCATTTGAAGCAGATGTAGCAGAATACACTAGTTATGCAGACATAAGAACAATTCCAGGACACTATGTGTTGTATTGGGAATTAAATCTTAAAGGTTCAACAAAAATTCCAGATTGTGTTTATGAAGATTGTTGTTTAACTGTTGAAGAATCGCTTAACAGTGTTTATCGACAAGGTCGTGTTTCAGACAAATCAATAGGGCCACTTGAGATTAAGATTGTGGAGCAAGGGACATTTGATAAACTTATGGATTATGCTATTGGTTTGGGAGGTTCAATAAATCAATACAAAACTCCTAGGTGTGTGAAATCTGCACCTGTTGTGGAGCTTTTGGAGTCGAGAGTTGTGGCAAATTATTTTAGTCCAAAATGTCCAAAATGGGTTCCTGGTCGTAAGGATTGGAATAATCATGAAAATTGAAAGATATCTCAGGGGTAAAAGTAGTTACTATAATTAGAATAAAGTAATGCATGTTTGTATGCTTGTTTAGAAACTTTGTCTGTCCAACTTTTAGGTGGGTCTTGTCCATGCATATTGATCTTACCACCTTGAAATAAATAACAAACTTGTCTATCTTATTATCCATGGTTGAATAAATTTATTATTATTATTATTATTATTTATTTCTTCTCTGTTTTCTTTAATATCTAATATTAGCTATCCAGCTAACCAGTCAATAGTAAGTTCCAGCTAACCAGTCAATAACAGTCATCTTTTTAGTATTAGTTTTTAATTTCCATTTTGTGATCCAAGGAATTAACAGCTAGCATGAAAGCTTTTTCCTTTTTACTTCACTTTGTTTGGAATTAATTAACTTATTTACCTTTTTTTCTTTTTGTTTCAGTTTTAGTTTGCTATATGAAACAAAAGATATCAATATTGAAATTTTCTTGCAAATTGAAACTTAAGGAAGATAAGGGAAGTCTAACGTTTTTACTCAATCTTCAAAGAGCTCAGCTAATAAATATATACTGAGAGTCAAAATCTCTTATACGTATTTTTTAAAGAAATACTATTTGTTGATTTTTTATATGATTGTTTTAAAAAAAATTCAAAATAATTTGAAACAATAGCTTAGAGAATCATCAGATAAAATGAGATACTCACACTATACTACAAACAAAAAAGTACTAATAAGACTCTAAACTATGATTCTAAAGTTAGTTAATATTATTAAAAAATCTCTCAACAATATTATCAATTTAATTCGCTTTTGCACACGTATCAAAAACAATTTAATAAAGGATAGTATTAAAAAGGAACATTCAAGTCGAATCACAAAGACTCCAAGTTAATTTAACCAAAACAAATAAAAGAATGAGATTTAAATTTTCGAACAATTAAAAATAAATAAAACAATTGTGATTAACAAATTATTCTACCCCATGATAATCAATTTCTATTTGATTATAATATCAATTAAACAAGCATTATAAAAAATATTCTTAATTGCCGCATTAAACATGACAGTTAAAAATAAAATAAAATAAATAAATAAGTTAAATTAACACACAATTAAATTAAGCAACATACATCAATTATATTATATGAAACTCGAATAAATAAATAATTGAAACAGAATTGAATAAAAACCGGATAACACTACAAGAAAATCTAAAATTAACCACAAAATTCTTCCCACAAACTTTGACCAATGATAAATTTTTATTTACATTAGCCGTCGTTAATTTGTGTATAAGAGTTTAAATTTATATCTTTCTTATTAAAATTTTAGTCAAGGCCTAACCACGATTATAATTGGCGGCATCTATCTTTGCCAATTGGTAAACTTTATATAATACTTTAGTTTTAAAATATTTGTTTTTATTTTTATTTTTATTTTTTAACATTTTTGGATTCAATATAAAAAGTTGATCCTTTAATATTAAAATATCATCATAATATTAAATTAATAATATATTTTTTTAATTATTAGCTAGTTACGATCTCACTTTTTTATAAATTTAAAAATACTTAAATTTGTTATTTTTTATTCAAAAATTATTTAGTTTTTAACAATAAACTAATTCAAAACATTTAATTTGCAATTGGTTTTGTCAAAGTCAGAAGCTTTCGCCTCTCTCTAAATGTTTCTTTGATTAATTCACGGTTACTTAACAACATGGAGCTGAAGAAAGTTGAAAGAAGAGGAGTATCACTCTCGCCTCTCTCTAAATGTTTCTTTGATTAACTCACGGTTACTTAACAACATGGAGCAGAAGAAAGTTGAAAGAAGAGGAGTATCAGTCAGGAGTGCAGAGAGATGGGATATTCATGCGACCAGAAATAAAGATGGAAAAGAAAGGGAGGAGGAGTTATCATCGGTGTACTTTTTAGAAATTCCATACCATTTTAAGGTTGTCGACGTTTTCGAGCTCTTTATCCCTTTTGGTAGCATGCAGGAAGTAGTTATTCCTCCTAAAAGGAATAAGTTTGGGAAAAGGTTAGGATTTGCAAGGTTTGACAAGGTGGAAGATGTCAGGATGCTCGCAGTGAAGTTGGATAATATCTTCGTTGATAAGAAGAAGATTTTTGCAAATGTCTCTAGGTTTTTCAGAAAATCGGTGATTCCGAAAGGAGGATCTTCTGGTAGCAGTACTAGGGAGGTCAAACAAAATTATGTGCATGGTTTGAGGAAGATTCATAGGGTTGAGAATTTTGGAGTAGGGAATAAATCATATACTGAAGTGGTGAACGACAGAAGTTCTTCAGAGTTATTTCCTAGGAAATATTCACCTTTGTTGAAGTTTCAAACCGAAGTGTCTGAGTTAGAACGATTCAAAAAGGCTTACGTGGGAGTTGTTATTAATCCAGAAATGTCATATAACATTCAAACTAGTTTTGAATTTGATGGCTATTTCTCCATTAAAGTAACTCCTCTTGGAGAAAAGCTCTGTTTATTTGAAGAAAGCAAGTCGGGAGAGATTAGAGATCTTACCAGAGAAGCTAGAAGATGGTGGAACCAATGGTTTTCAGAAATAAGGGAGTGGAAAGAAGATGATGTTGACAACGAAAGGGTTATGTGGTTGAGGTGTTATGGTATACCTTGTCACACGAGGAATTATTTGTTTTTTGAGTTGTTGGCCAACACAGTGGGCAAGTATATCTATGCTGATGAAAATACATTGTTAGGGAAATGTATGGATGTGGCAAGATTTATAGTGAGAACAAGTTGTGTTGTTGTTTTAAAAGAAACTTTTAATGTGGAGATCAATGGTGTCTTGTTATGGATTAAAATGACAGAAGATAGCCACGACCCGCTTCGTATTCTTCCTAATGAAGAGGATAACAAGGTTGTTGTTGTTGATGATTCTTCATCAGAGTCTGACAATATGTGGAGAAAACATTTCAAAGATGAAGATGAAGTATGGGGAGGGGGTCTTGTTGTTGGTTCTTTGCTCGAAGAGGATGAAGATAGGTGTGTGTCTGATAAATTAAGAAGATCAGACATGTTACAACAAAGTAATGACGAAGTAGGAAAAAGTTTGATCAGTCCTAAGAATTTAGAGGGGACTATCGAGGATGATATTCATAGTAAAAAGAGCTTTGATGTAGCTTTAGCAGTAGTTAGAGGGCTTTTTTTAAAAGACAAATCACATCTGGGGACCCACTTTGCAGAACCAGGTCTGAGTGAAGATAGAAGCCTTACTTTGGATTCTAACTTTAAAGATATTGGGCCTGAGGTCGAAATGCATAGGACCAAACTTTTAAAAAGAAAATTTGCGAAGACGTTAAAGGAGGTTTGTAGGTCGTTAGGTAAAAAATGTTCTAAGCCCAACAAAAAAAAGTTGTGTTTACCTAAACCTATGGCATCTCTTTCTTTGGTGGACCCAATTGAATCATTCTCTAATCCTTCGTATTTTTATGCTCTTAACTCTCAAAATTTTAAACGTCAAACTCTAAAACCTTCTGAGGTAATCAAATATAGTAATAAAGCTTTATGTGAGAAGAGTTATTTAGCTGGTGCAATTTTGTGTTGTGAATCGATGACAGATTCTGATGTTAGGCATTGTAATAGTAAATTTTGGGAGAATATTGAATCAAATGTTGGGGAAAAAGTCTGGAATGCGATTACTAAGTTGGGAGTCATAACAAAAGATAAATAGAAGAATTATTCTAAGAAAATTGCGGAAATTGGAGGCCTCTGATAAAGCTAGAAGCAAAGAAACGTTGGCGATCAATAATTAAGCTCAAGTATTATTGGGTCTTTGAACAACAGAGGCGGAGCTAATATCTCAAAGAGGAAAAGGATTAGTTCGATTATCAACATATGTAAAGCTGATATTTTCCTTATTCAAAGTATCAAAATTGTGTTCTGTGGAGGATTTGATTATTAGTAGCTTTTGGATGAATCAGGAGGTGGGTTGGTCTAGTGTTAAGGCAAATTGGCATTCAGGTGGTATCATAACTTTATGGAATAAGAACTCAATAATCCCTATTAGCTATTTTATTGGGATGGTTACCTAAGCATTGACACTAGATGGAAGAATGAGAATTATTTTGTTATCAACGTGTACTCTCCTTGCTATCTGATTCGTAAGAGGTCATTGTGGAGAAGTCTGTTTGAGTTAAAGAAGAGGAAGAATCAAGGTTACTGGATTTTGGGAGGATATTTTAACGCGATCATAAGTTCGGCGGAAAGAAAGGGGAGTTTGTTTAATGCTAGATGAGCAGAACATAGGTTTTTTGTCAATTTCATCAAGAAGATGAATCCGATTGATCCTACCTATAATGGGAATCCTTTTAGCTAGTATAATAGGGATGGTAAATCCATGAGCAGAATTGATAGGTTCCTAGTTTCTGATTCTCTTGTGGATAGATGGGGAGCTTTTGGTCAATCGATAGGAAGGAGGGACGTGTCGAATCACTATCAGATTTGGATGAAAAGTTTTCCGTTAAACTGGGGCCCAAATCCATTTAAAACGAATGATTATTGGTTCGAACATGTTAATTTTGTAAAATTTATGGAGAAGGGAAATATTTAGTTGTTATAGGGAGGAGTGACTATATTATTAATGAGAAGTTTAGAATCCTTAAAAATAGATTGAGGATTTGGAGTAAGCAATGTTTTAGGTGGCATGAATTGAAAGCGGAAGAGGGAGTGGAAGAACTTAATGATCTGGATGAGAAATTACATAGTTGTGATCTGGCAGAGGTGAATGATCTGGTAGTGAGAAGATCGGAAGCAGTTAATTCTATGTGGAGGCATTTGCATATTAAAGATAATATGTTAATAAAAAAGCTAGATTGAAGTGGAATCAAGAAAGCGACATTAATTCAAAATTATTCCATAAATCAGTTAAGGGTCATGCAAGGAGAAAGCACATTGAAGTGGTAGATACGGAGAGGGGAGTGGTTGAGTCGGTTGAGAATTCAACTCTGGAGCATCATAACTTGAGCTTCAAGGATCCAAATGATAA